GTAGTTCATTGTTCTTAATGGTTATTTGATTCTTGTGATTGATGCTTAGAGTTGTAATTCAATAGTCTCTTATTGGTATATAGGTATAGTGTATGGATTGCTTCGATATTGCCTTAAGTTACAAACATTCTAAGCAAAGATGCATGGTGACTAGTAGTGGAATGCGGGATGCGCATTTCGTCCTATTTCAAACTCGTCAGATGGATATACTTGCATCCCGAAATAGATGTCTACCCCAGCACTCGAACCCAGTACCGTTCGGTTCAAACGCGATTACATTATTCAATTGTGGCCTTAAACATCAATGAGAAAATTCAAACAGTCAATGCAACATTGAATTAAACTTTATCTCATTGCCTAAGCTAGTGGTAATCTGGACTCAGTAACAGAGTGGATAACGCGATAGTGCCTGAAATGAACGGTATGGGGTTCAACTGTACGAGTGAACATCAACTGAAGGATGCAGGTACATCCAGCTGACGGGTCCTAAATAGGACGAAATAGGGTCTTGGATTCCACTACTGTCAACATCATCTCGGATGAATCATAATTCAACAAATCTATATTTTAAGTATTGGGTTTAAAAGAGACTATGGAGTTTTCATTGTTTAATTTACGAACTGATCTTAGATAAATAATCAATAAAAATTCGAAATCATTGAATAACTGTTCCATTCTAGAATGAGATTGCTCCTCAGTGAACAAGCACGATATCATTATGGTGAACCAAATTCAAAACTTTAGGTCTCGAGTCGAATACCTAATCTCTAGACCACTGAATGACTATTGAATTGTGTTCATGTCTTACTTACTTACTTACTTACGCTTGTTACCCGCAATGGAGCATAGGCCGCCGATCAGCATTCTCCAACCCTCTCTGTCTTGGGCCTTCTTTTCTAGTTTCATCCAATTCTTGTTCATTTTTCTCATGTCTATCTCCATTTCTCGACGTAATGTGTTCTTTGATCTTCCTCTTTTCCTTCGACCTTGAGGATTCTATATGAGGGCTTGTCTTGTGACGCAGTTGGGTGCTTTCCTCAATATGCGTTCTATCCACTTCCAGCGCTTCTTCCTGATTTCTTTCTCCACTGGAATCTGATTTGTTCTCTCCCACAGTAGGTTGTTGCTAATAGTTCATGTCTTACCCTAATCAATTCATGATATTAAGCGATCATATTCAATTGCCTGTGTTGGGCAATTGTATCACATTTGATATAGTTGAACTTCAATGATTATGGTTTCTTATTAAAACTTCAGGAATCCCATGATGGAGCTATTCAATGCTTCCTAGTTTTTAATACTAGTCTATCTATAATCCACGCATGATATAAACTCTGTATGAATTGATCCATAGACTTGATGTTGATTAGTATTTTGAATAAGGAAATGTTTGTCTGATTATTTTCTCTTAATAAAATTTGTTTGCAAAATTGTAATGATAAATTTGTTGTTTGATTTTTCAAGTATTCGTCTACTTGTTTAAAGAGTTAGTTTTTTACGGAATGGGTCAGTAACTCTATGCTCAACCTTCATCGTTTGTCTAGGCTTGAGACGGGTAGTGGTACGGCCGAGAGTGGGGAGAATCCGATCACCCTCTCCAAATACTCTCACATGGCCACGCGTATATAGCCTCTGTCAGGGAAGTTCTACTCACACCTTTCTCGTGGTATTACTGTTATCTACGAAATTGAGAGGACAAAAAGCGAGTGATCGACACTGTAACCTGATTGGTCGATATGAAGTATCCATCTAGGGGAGTTGGAAAACCCTGATTCCAAATCAATGGTGCACATGGGCTGGCTTCAGTATCCTGAAGGAATAAATGGCGTATGAACCAATCGTTGGTCAGCGGCTATCATGGTACTGCATCTTCTTACGATGCTCCACTGTCTTGTGAATCAGATCTTTAGGTCTAAGGCTCGGGGTGTGGCCCCTCAAGTAAACCATATGCTTCGGTTTGGACACCCGGTCAGTATCACAGCCCATATACAAATCAAGTGATTTATGTGGTGCACATGTATTCCATGCCCCTTTGTACCAATATTTATATGTCCAAATAAATACATAATAAATAATGTAGTCTATGGTGATAAATCCAAACAGATATAATAACTATTTGGATGGTTATTCTTTCAAACGGTAGTTTTCAAACATCTATCCATCTAAGTTGAATCATACTTTATATAAAATTCAAGTTAAGGATGTGAACTATTGGATACTACTAGCTCAATAATCTGAACTGAGTAATATGGTCACTTTTATATTGGAAATTATGAGTTTTATCCTTTGTACAGTCGAATGCCGATTGTTCCAGAGTTGTATACTAGAACAAAAGAGATATCTTACTTGATATTGTTTGGCTTGTATCTTCCCATTGAGGTTTAACATTGCAATTGATCAGTATGAGTAAACATCAACTCTGAGGTGCAGGTACATTTAGTTAACGAGTCCTAAATAGGACAAAACACGCTTCAAACTAGATTCTACTATCAGCCACTATCCATGTTTATTTATAAAAGCTTGTGAATTAAGGCAATATCGAGGCACACGCACAGTATACATATATGCCAATAACAGACTGATCAATTGTAGTCTTAAATCTCAATGAGAAGATACAAACCAAACAATACCAAGTGAATTTAAATTCACACCATTGCACAAGCAAGTGGCTATCAGAACTGAGTAGTTGAGTGGATAACTCGGTGGCGTTTGGAGCGAATAGTACTGGGTTCGTGTCTTGGAGTGCACATAAACTCTTAGATTCAGGTACATCCAGCTGACGAGTTCCAAATAGGACAAAACACGCTTCAAACTGGATTCCCTTACTATCCACTATCCATCATTGCTTATAAAAAGAGGTGTCTGTTATTCTTAAGTCTTCAGTGATTGATTAACTAAAATCACCCCATCATGATGAACATATTTTATTAATCTACGATGGTAAAACATCTAGAAAGATTAGTCCGGTGATTACTTACTTACTTACTTACTTACGCCTGTTACTCCTCGTGAAGGAGCATAGGCCGCTCACCAGCATTCTCCATCCAACCCTGTCCTGGGCAATCCTTTCAAGCTCTTTCCAGTTCTTATTCATCCTTTTCATATCTGCTTCTATTTCCCGACGTAATGTGTTCTTTGGCCTTCCTCTTTTCCGCTCCCCTTCAGGATTCCAAGTTAGCGCTTGTCTCGTAATGCAGTTTGATGATTTCCTCAATGTATGTCCTATCCATTTCCATCGTCTTTTCCTAATTTCCTCTTCAGCTGGAAGCTGGTTGGTTCTCTCCCACAAAAGGCTGTTGCTGATGGTTTCCGGCCAATGGATGTTGAGTATCATGCGTAGACAGCTATTAATAAATACCTGTACCTTCTTGATGGTGGTTGTTGTAGTTCTCCAAGTTTCAGCTCCGTACAGTAGAACTGCCTTGACGTTCGTATTGAAGATTCTGACTTTGATATTGGTTGAAAGTTGTTTTGAGTTCCATATGTTCTTCAGTTGAAGGAATGCCGCTCTAGCTTTGCCAATCCTCGCCTTGACATCTGCATCTGAACCTCCTTGTTTATCGACGATGATTATGTAATACCATGTATAAATTACAACAGTGAATATTTAGTTTTAACAAATAACTTAAACCTGGCTAATTAGCTAGGATAGTTAAGTTGATAACAGACATTATCAAGACGTGGTTGATCATTCATATATATGTATGTATATATTTCACTAGAGCAGTTGACAATGAATTTCATTTGACTGATATGTTTCATAGGCTACTTTTAATTTGGATTCGCACTGATGAGGAGTCCCATAATAGGACGAAACGGCCGTCTAGTGCTTCCAGGTTTTCCATGATGGTCTAGCTTCAACTGACTCATGATATTAACCAATGAAATTATGAAATGATTAAATGATTAAATACTGTTGACGAATTCCTATCACCATCTTATCTTAACATAGTACACTCAATGGTGAGTCATCTATACTAGTGGCCACATTACAACTTGATCGATAAGATTCGATCTTCACTAAAACGGACCCGACATACACGACAAGGAACACCACTCAGTGATCAATTAATTGTAAATACATTTCAGTCTTACAGAAGGTCAATCGCGAACCGGATATCTCAGTAGTAACGTCTATAACTGTGAAACTGGGTGACATGAGATTGAATCCGTCAGGGTGCATCAGTTCCCTCAAGATTACAGGTACACCTTGTTAATAAGTGCCAAATAGCACGAAACCTAGGTCCAGGGTTTCCTGTTCACAAACTCAAACTACCATCTTATTTTAACATAGTACACGCAATGTCGATTCACCTAAGCAAGTGGTTACATTACAACTTGCTTGATAAGATTCGATCTTCACTAAGAAGTACCGGACATGATCAATCAATTGTAAATACTGTGTATTATCTGTCCACTTAAAATACAAGAACGCCAAAATTGCATAATAAGTAATATATTACTAATAAGTAGTTCATCTGTTTTTAAGATAAATAACCAGTGGAGTTCAACCAGGTATGTTGTGTGATATTAGCTCACTGAAGACAATAGTGTACGGTGGCGCAATTTCATGGATTAGTTGAAGTTAGACATCAACATCATTGGATGCCGGCTATTTCAATGGTCTAATTGTTAACCGTTTACGCATGAGACTGATAGATCTTGGGTTTGAATCACGTCGGAGGGGTGGGCGGGATCGTAGATGCACACTGTTGAAGAGTCCTACAATAGGACGAAACAGTTATCCAATACTTCTAGATTTTTCCATGATAATCTAGCTTCAATAGACTCATACTTTCAACCATTGTACTAATTATTTGTATGATAAACATTCATGGAATCATTTCAAACATACATACTCATCAATCACTGGAACTAAGATAAAACAATTACCCACCACTACCACCACCATCACCACAGCCACCACCACCACCCTATGGATTTATATCTCAGAAACAAATGAAAACTATTCCTTCATTTGTACAAGTAGATATATGTAAACAGGATAAAAAGATGTAAGAAGAAGAAGAAGAAGACAAGTGAATACTTTAGTAACCTGAGTTATACAATAATCAAATGTCATTTGTATTATTATTATTAGTTCATAAATGAACTATTGAATTTGATTGATAATATTCCATTTACAAGATGATGAATGTAAATTATACTTGGATGATGATGATGATGTCGTCTTCGTCGTCGTCGTCGTCATCGTCGTCGTAGTAGTAGTAGTAGTAGTAGTAGTAGTAGTAGAAGAAGAAGAAGAAGTACAACAAGAATATGAGGTATGAATTAATTTCGGTGGGATTAAAATTGTTTTATTGAGATTTTCATCATTCAATGTCTCAATTCTTGGTAAAGGTAAACTATGTACATCTAAAATAATCATAAATTGAAATAAATAGGTCAACTGTAGTATATATATATATATATATATATATATATATATATTTAGGGAGAAAGGGAGAGTGAGAGAGAGGGAGAGAAAGAGAGAAACGTATGTATTGAATAACACATAATAGATATTCATCAGTATAAGATTATTGATTGAAATCATGAATTGACTGATGTTAGACATCCATTGAAAATCTTTATACAATGTTTGACGGTTGTTTCGTCCTATTATAGGACTCGTCAACAGTGTGCTCATGGAATTCAAACCTAAGGCTTTTAGATATTCATTGTAGGTTTGTAGTGTCTGGTATTATGTGAAGCCTATATACCTTATTCTGGTATTCGGACAGCTCAATCTATTCATTCCACTTGAGTCACATTGTAACCTTGTTAATTATTCGCTCATCAATCTTGACTATCTTTATATGAGCGCGTAGGCCTGTGTACACTTTTTATCCCATTGCTCATCACATGTCTGTAACTTATTTTTGTGTGCTTATAAATATTGACTAACGCTTGACTAATGAGAGTTGGCTTACCCTCCATCTCCACTGCCTGTCGTTTCGTTTCTCTCTATTCCATTCGCTTCATATACAAAATATATGTATTCAAAACATCCATTCTCGTTATTTAACTTATTTAATTCCGTTATTCACGTAACGCGATTTAAGTTGATGGTTAAATACGACGATAGATGACATATACATTTCGACAGCAATCATTCATACGATCTACTTGAAGTCAGACCTAGGGCCATTAAAGTAGTGAGCCCGTCAACAAACATCGTTTGATCTAAATGACGACAAAATAAAGGGCTCCACAGGTTATAAGCTTTATTAAGTTGTTTTGTTTTTTATTATTTATTCTATTGAAAAGTAACCATAAATGTTACCATATATCTATATATTCATTTGAACACATAAATATTACAATAGTTGAAATCATGAATCAATTGAAGCTAGACCACCATGGAAAACCTGAAAGCACTGGACGGCCGTTTCGTCCCAGTGTAAGACTCATCAGCTCGGTGGTCTAGTTGGTTAAGCGCCTGGCGCGAGACTGATAGGTCCTGGGTTCGAATCCCGCGGGGGGCGGGATCGTGGATACTCACCTCCGCTGAGGAGTCCCATACTAGGACGAAGCGGCCGTCCAGTGCTTCCTGGTTTTCCATGGTAGTCTAGCTTCAATGGATTCATGATTTCAACCAGTGAAATTACCAATTCTCCATAAAACCCCTTCCAGACATAAATATTAGTAAAAAGGATTACCGAATATATATATGGGTCATACAAGTCACTTGATTTGTGTGTGAGCTATGATACTTCCCAGGTGCTCAGACTGAAGCAAGTGATTTTATTAGGGGGTCACAACCGGAGCATTCAACTTAAAGATCTGATCCACAACATAATGGGACAAAGTAAGGAAATGCAGTAACATGGTAGTCGGTGATCAACAATAGGTTCATACGCCATTTGTTCCTTCAGGATTCTGGAACCTATGTATGCCATTGGTTTGAACTGAGAATTTTCCAACTCCTCTTGGTGGACTTTTCATGTTCACCAACCCGGTTAAAGCGCTAAAGATTCGGTTTTCTTCCTCTCAGTTTGGTAAACAACAGTAATGTCAGTTAGAAGTCAATGAGTATTACTTCTCTGTCAGTGGCTGTATATATGTGCTTATGTGAGAGTATATAGAGAAGAAGAACGGGTTATCCTCACCCTCATCCATATCAGTTCATGTTATACACTTTCTGAACATATTAAGGCCTATTATCAGAGTATCTTTTAAAAAGATATCATATGCTTGTTAAGGAGGTTATAACGGGATGAATATGAGGAAAGTTGAGACTTGTAGAGATATTATTCAGATTATTATTACCCATATCTTTATTACTTAACTAATAGATAACTGTATTGATACATTTCATTTTACTGTAAAGTTTTAGTGGATCTATCAACTTTCACTACGTGTTTTATTATTCTTCAGGGAGATCCACGGGTGAAATCGAGGAAGCTGTAAGAGGCTCAGAAAGAGCCGAAGATATTCCATCCAATCACATTTTGAAAGAATATTCTAGAATTCCTACGTGTAGCTTCCCGATTAGACAAACGCTAATAACCCCCTGTATGCGAATTGGAGGACTGTAATAATGATTTTGTTTCTTACTAAAAACTATAAATACTTGATATCTTTTTACTATAATTGACACTGTCTGGAATAACATTCCTCCTCATTTGTAATCTGTCTTCTCATTGAGACTTGGAAGGATTCTAGCGTTCTAATGTTCAAGTTATACGCGGTAATATCAAGAATATAAGCTCTACATACAACAGTTTGGAGTATGACTTCTTATTTGATGTACATATGTTTTGAGTTATTAATCAATTGAATATGATAGAGAACTAATGTGCTTTCTATCTTCTCCGTCTTGTTGATCACTGTATAGAAGAAGTGTTAACATGTTGAGTTGTTGTTCATTGATCGATGCGTCAGTTGATGCTTAGAAAGTCATCAGTTCTACTGGTGACATAATACGCGATATCTATTAGTACTTCAAGCCGTAACAACAGGTTCATTAAGATTCTGATGAGTAGGTATTATGGAAAAGTCTTTATATGATTTATTCTTTCGTTCAAGATAATTATATATTATGGAAAGACAGAGGATTTCTTGAAGAAAGGTCATAGATTAGATATACAGAAGCTTATTCATTAATATATGTCCTCCAGAAAATCAAGCTGCATTGTTAACCAATAGTATAGATATTCTCTCTTAGAAAGTTAAATCAAATCTTGATCAGTAACGTGTATTTAATTGTATCGCCCCCAAATGCCCTGGTATGGCCGAGAATGAAGAGTGTCAACTCACCCTCTCCAAATACTCTCACATCGCTACACCCATATAGCCTCTGCCAGGGAAGTCCTACTCACTGCCTTCTCGTGGCTGAGGTGTTATTTACGAAATTCAGAGGACAAAGAGCGAATGTCCGGTGCTTTAACCGGGTTGTTGGACACGGAGAGTCCACATATGGGAGTTGGAAAACCCTCAATCCAAACCAATGCTGCACATGGGCTCCAGTATCCTGAGGGAACAAATGGCGTATGAACCAATCGTTAATCACCGACTGCATCTCCTCACGATGCTCCACTGCTTTGTGGATCAGATCTTCAGGTCGAAGGCTCTGGTTGTGGCCTCCTAATAAAATCACTTGCTTCAGTCTGAGCACCCGGGCAGTATCATAGCTGTCACACAATTCGAATGAGATTTGTATGGCGCATATGTATTTGGTGCCTCCTTGTAACAATATCTATGTGTTAAAATAATCAATGATAATTGATTGTATCACTTACTGATCGTTTAGTCTTAAATCAATATGTTCAATTAATCCCGCTTATAGATCACTTGATTTATCCTACCTGAAAGTCATAACGCAGTCATTCAACTATACATTGAAGAATTCACTCTAATCATCAGTTTTATATTTGAATTAATGTTAGATATTAACACCGTTGGATGCTGGCCAGCTCAGTGGTCTATAGGTTAATCGTTCGTGCGTAAGTTCGATAAGTTCTGGGTTCAAATCTCACATTGCTGACGAATTCCACAATTGGACGATACGACCGTCACAAACAGTACTTCCAGATTCTCCATGGTGATCTAGCTTCGATTGATTTATGATCTTAATTATTGAAATTATTACAACCTCCACAAAATCCCTTATGATATGAATCAATATATACTTATCAGTGACTGGTTTCAGGAGATAATTCCTAGAGTTCTAGTGAGAGTCAGTGACCAGTTGAGTTCAACCAAGTCTGTTGTGAGATAGTAACTCATTGAAGACAATAGTAGATGTGTCTCTGAATTTCGTGGATTAGTTAAAGTTAGACATTAATATTGACTCAATGGTCTAGAGGTTAGACGTCCACGCTTGAGACTGATAAGTCTTGGGTTTGAATCTCGCCAGACAGGATCGTGAATACACACTGCTGACGAATTCCACACTAGGACGATACAACTATCAAACAGTACTTCCATCTTTTCTATGGTGATATAGCTTCACTTGTTTCATGATTTCAACCATTAGAAAAAGAAACACACGCACACACATAAGAACTTACATGTTGGAATACACATTGTATTTCTATCATCATCATCATCATCTTCATGATCATCAATATTATCATGTAAATATACTTTAGTTCGACATAAATGATCACATTTATACATCACATTTGATGTATGCAATGAGGATATTGGTTGATCATATGTATAGTGATGTTCTAATCTATCAGTGATGAATGAATTCAACCCATAATTATTATTATTATTATTACTGAAAGCTTCATCTAGATCGTGTTTACCATATGTTGAATAAGTAAAGTTCTTTCTGTTGCTATCATGGTATCTCTGGGTACATCTCTGGTAATAACAATCATTACCATTGTTACTATTACTATTACTATTACTATTATTATGATTATTATTATTATTTGGTGGAAGTGTTTCAAATGAAGTCAATTGATTATATTGTTGTATGGATAATAGATTACATGAATCCCCATCATCATCATCATCATTATCACCATGGTGATAATGACAATGATGATAATGGGGATCTTCATTTTGATTGGTCAATTGACATTTTGAACAAATTTGATTGGTTAATTTAGTAGTTTGTTTTACTGAACAATATTCTATGATGATAAATAAAGTTAAATATAATGTGAATATACTTATTAATATTGTGAGTAGTAAATCTGTAAAATGAAAAAAAAAATTTAAAAAGAAAAACAACAATGAAAGTTCCATTTTTCTTTTTATAGTGAAAATGTTACATATTTTTTTTTTTTTTTGATTAAGATCATGAACCTAGTGATGTTAGATCAGCATTGAAAACCTGGAAGCATTGGACGGCAACTTTGTGGATTGGTTGAGATTAAACACTAATACTATTAGATGCCGGCTTAATGGTCCAGTAGATTAAGCGTTCGCGCACAAGACTAAAGGTCATGGGCTGGAATACCGCGAGCGGGATCGTGGATGCGCACTGCCACTGAGGAGTCCTAAAATAGGACGAAACGATTGTCCAGTACTTCCAGGTTTTTACTGGTGTCTTAACATCAATCAGTTCATGATCTTAATCAAAAACTTAACAATCCCCACAACTCCTAAACTGATTGTTACATATTCATTTAATTGACATTATGGTGTATACTAGTGATATCGACAGATGTAAATAGTATATGTATCATCAATAGAAATCGAAATGTTGGGTAGCAGAAAGTTAAGAAGAATGTACCTGCATCTCATAGTTGATGTTCATTCAGGCTGATCAATTGCAGTCTTAAACCTCAATGGGAAGATACAAGCAAAATAATACCAAGTGAAGTAAATACTTTATTTGTAAAGTTTTAATCAATTGTCTCAAACTTAACTGTTCCTTTGGCAAATATGGATCATAGTTTAGTTCATCATAGTTTTAGTGTGTGGGCTGGGATACTGTACGGGTGCCTAGACCGAAGCAGGTGGTTTTCTTAGGGGGCCACACCCCGAGCATTTGACCCAAGGGTCTAGTCCACAAGGCAGTGGAGCATCGTGAGGAGATGCAGTCCCATGGAAGCCGGTGACCAAAAGTTGGTTCATACGCCACTTGTTCCTCAGGATACTGGAGCCCATGTGCACCATAGAATTGGGATCCGGTTAAAGCGCCGGACGTTCGCTTATCGTCCTCTCATTTTCGTAAACAACAGTAATGCCACGTGAAGGCAGTGAGTAGGACTTCCCTGGCAGAGGCTGTATACGCGTGGCAGTGTGAGAGTATTTCGAGAGGGAGGGTGAACCCTCCCCGCTCTCGGCCATACCAGGGCATTTGGAGTCAAAAAAAATATCGATCAGTCATCCTAGATTTCAATGTTCCTATAAATCCATACCAATCTCTTCCTATTCCTATTCTTTCCTTCTCAATCTTCTTGACATTTTACTGCTAGACATTCTATTCCTGACTAGCATCACAAAAATACTTATATCGATATAAGTAGCATATGCCAGAGTTCCCATTGGTGTTCTAGTTCACTACAATATTAGTTATTATTAAATTGGTCAATATTATACTAATGCAATATGCCAATGGTTAATTATCAAATGAATTAGGTTACATATGAATATGAGTATCATATTTCAAACTGGAATAGTTTTTTTATTAAGGGGATTCTCTCTTCGTATCACTCGCCTGTATTCTTAAGATAATAATCAATATCATATGTTACATTCACTAATCAATATTATATGTAGAACTTCATCTATTCCGGATCTAGTATTTCTTCTATGAGGTAGTGTCCATGTATGCATCTGTTAACCTTGGGTCGATACATACTATGCTACTATTGATCAACTATTCGTCAACTCTTTGCTATCATCTACTTTAAGTTCAGTAAAGAAATCACTAGCTAAGCTATATGGCTGTGTAAAGCTGAAGGTCTCATATGAGGCTGGAAGCTCGCCATTGCTATTGTGGATGGTTCAGCAATGCTTTGGTAAGTTTTGCTGACTGCTCACGCGCAAAATTAGTTTGCTGGTTAACTGATTTCATTCATACTGGTAGCTGCTTTTCAGTGTTCTCGAGGGCCATTGTCATTGGGACATTTAAGGCATGTCGCTATTGCTAACATTAGTGAGTTTGATTGTCGTGTAAGCGGAATGGGTCAAATTTGGCCTGTTCGTGCCGTGCATAATTGATTCCCGCGATCATTAGTCGGAATAACTACACATGCGATGTGAATGTGTATAGGAATGGTGCGAATGCTCCACTAGGGTGCTTGGTTCCTGTGTGGTTGCGCCATAGGATTGAGCTGTACTATTCAGATTGTAGCGTTAAGCCTATACAGTGTCTGGCTCTCCTGTTAAACGGGCTTGGGCTGTACTGTTTGGGTTGTCACGTGCAAGTCTGGACGGTGTCTGGTTCTCCTGAAAACCGATGTAAAATTGCCCTGGCCCACAAGGGTATATTATATAACTAAAGAAATCACTAGCTAGCTATCATTATTACATCTATACATAATCACAGCCACACACAAATAAGCTAATAGTGGATATGAATAAGGGAAGTTGTAAATAATAAACTATCAATAAATTAAGGATATTGAGTTGTATAACAGCAGTTAATGGGTTGAGCAAAGTCAGTCAGTCAGTCAGTCAGTAACAACGTGGAATTTCGTACGTACGTACATCAGTTCAAGTTGTCATACCGCACTAGTACAGAGATTCAATTGTCGATTCGAATCCCATAGTGGTAGAGGTAGTAAGACTATAAGCAATAATCGGAAAGATTAGGGTTTGAAGATGTTATTCAAGGAGTATAATCCAGTGAAATAAATTTGGAAAGAGGAAAAGAAGAAAGGGACATGAAGAATTGAGAAGATTAGAATATGAGAAAACACAATAAGTGAATGTACCTTCGCACACTATTGCAAACGATTTTCAGCCATGTCATCCAAAATCTCTAACCATCGGTTACTATCATCTCGCAGTCCCCAATCGGGAAGTCTATATCTACCAACATGGCTCAGTTCACTTGTCAGTGAATTCATAGATTTGTACCATGTTTTGATCTGGCCACCCTTAACTTTCTTCCAACCTATTCCTACATCATAAAACATTGCACGTCAGGGCAAAAAGCCTTTAACAAACAAAATGTATAAACACATTGATCCATCATTTCCCTTGACAATCTGGTTTAAACGTTTTCAAGGAAATATAGTGTCAAACATCAAAACTATCGATTATATTTCTTTGAAATAACTTGAACTAGATTACCAAGGGGAAACGTTGAGTTTACTTCAAATTCATTCTGTGGGCTCTTACAAAAACAAAATTCATCCCCCTTAATGGAAATACAAATAGTAATAATAATAATAGTAATAATTCGAGAACCAGTACCGAAATTCCCAGCGTTTACAATAGTCACCCTGTTATAACGTTCAGCGACCGACAACTCGAGTAAAATGAAACTGGATTCCATAATAAATTGTTATTTAGTATTATAAACAATCTTTTGATTGTGTTTATAATTCATTCATATTTATTCATAGATGCGCACTGCTGAGGAGTCCCATAATAGGACGAAACGGCCGTCTAGTGCTTCCAGGTTTTCCATGATGGTCTAGCTTCAACTGACTCATGATCATAACCATTGATAAAAAAAAGTGTTACGAGAGATCTGGATGATCATTTGATCATAATCACGGGTTGATGCGTCTTATTCATGAGGAAAACCCTTGCGGTCGTCGGTCGACAGCTAATCGGAGGAATACGACTGATTCTCAGAAAAAAAATACATTACAGAGATGAAAACCAAATTTCTTAAGACTTAAAGGAGTATAAGTAATCGATAACTCTTCAAGATCTAACCGATGATAGAGTAAGATAAGCTAAATATCTTCTACAAGATTATCTGAAGTCACTGTAAGAAACAGTAGATAGAATAAAATGAACACAATCTTAGATAGTGTTATAACTTGTGACTCGTGTGCTCTATTAACATATAACGTAATGATACCGCCAATTAAAGAACAATGATTTATCAATCGAACCAATGACGTGTAAATCAGTACAAGCAGTCTAGTGTCCTTTTTCAGTCCTTCTTCCTGCCTAGCTCTACTTGTCTGTTGAATCCAGTCTCCATGATATGAATCATTCATTTCACACATACTCAGTTTATATACCAATCAAACAGACCACATCGTACTAATAAAATAGGAAACAACATTTGTAAAAGAATTAGCCAAATGTAGCTGTGAATGTGGGAGACTGTAATGAATAGACTGGGTATAACTCAAGAATGGTATATCGTATAATAACAATTCATAGATCACAATAAAGCCTATAATAAGAGGGACATGAATATGCATTGTTTATCTACCTAATAATTATACAATAAGAAGTATATGTGTAATATTAGTCCATAAACAGAGACCAATAGTTACCATTCATCATTCTCATTAAGATATAACAGTATAGAAGGAACACAAAAATGGTCCTGAGTACTTTTCAGAAGCTTAACATATATATATATATATATCTATCATTAACATCTAATAATTATATGATCAGTAATGAGATCAGCAGAAATAGAAATCAATGGTACTACAATGGCACTACAATTTTATTCTTATTATTTTAACACATAGATATCGGTACAAGAAGGCACCAAATACATATGTGCCACACGAATCTCATTGGATATGTGTGAGGGCTATGATACTGACCGGGTGCCCAAACCAAAGCAGGTGGTTTTCTTAGGGGGCCACACCCTGAGCCTTCGACCTGAACGTCTGACCCACAAGGCAGTGGAGCATCGTAAGGAGATGCAGTCCCATGGTAGACGGTGACCAACAATTGGTTCATACGCCATTAGTTCCTTCAGGATACTGGAGCCAGTCCATGTGCACCATTGGTTTGGGATCCGGTTAAAGCGCCGAACATTCGCTTTTCGTTCTCTCATTTTCGTAAACAACACCCCCGCCACTTGAAGGCAGTGAGTAGGACTTCCCTGGCAGAGGCTATATACGCGTGGCCATGTGAGAGCATTTCGAGAGGAGGATCGGATTCCCCCCACTCCCGGCCATACCAGGGCATTTGGGGGCACTACAATTTTAAACAATGACCTATTGGATTTAGTTTCAAAAGAACAAACTATCGATTAATTATAGAGAGAACTAATCAAGTTGTATAATAAGACCATGAAAGCTTCAATAATAAA